TCACGCCCTGGCTCTGGGGACACTTGCATGTTGAGCCAGGGTGTGCATTTCATTTGTTTATCGAGTATGGGTATTTCTATGTTGGCCTGAGTGACTCCCAATCAGAGGCAACGAGTGTCAGCTGTCAGCTGGTTGTCTCTGATTGGGAGCCATATTTAAACAGTCTGTTTTTCATTCGTGTTTGTGGGATTTTGTTTCTAGTCTGTTTATGGTAAACCGTGAACTGTCACGTATCGTTTGTTGTTTTGATCGTGTCTCGTAATAAAGAGTATGTTTGCCTGCAACGCTGCGCCTTGGTCCTCCTCTGTTCCCGACGAGCGTGACAGCAAGCCACCTGGGAATGTGGTGAAAGAGTCTTGTAGTAACTTGAACTATCTGTATCCCCCGATAACAAAGTCATTCCGACCTAGGTTGCCTACGTTTGAAGTCTCAGGGGATTCTAATTGTTTTTCTAGGACTAGTAAGATAGGATACAGAGTAGGGCATCTTAGCTCCTGCTCCCACACAGAGAATATCACAACTAAAAGAGAACATGACTAATCTCTCCTCTTTGTTACAGCCAGAGGATTTTAGGAATCAAAACAAGGCCCGTGCTGACATCTGATGGTTGTGTGGTGATAACTGATTGTGAATTAACCTACATACGCAAATAATCAAACGTGTCAGAGACTGGTGAGTTGTCACATAGAAAGTAGGACCTCCTCCCGGGATCCTTTGATGAAAGGATCCTTTGATGGGATAGGAGTACCTCGAGGGGTTCCAGAACAATTCAAAGCTAGGAATCAGATCGCAGCTGGGTTTGAATCAAGTATTTTCTGGTGGTCAACAATTAATAAAAATGTAGATTGGATGAATTATATTTACTATAACCAGCAAAGATTTATAAACCACACTCGTGATGCATTAAAGGGATTAGCTGAGCAGACAGCGGCAACTAGCTTAATGACATGGCAGAATAGAATAGCTTTAGATATGCTTTTGGCTGAGCGGGGCGGAGTTTGTGTTCTGTTTGGATATATGTGCTGTATTTTCATCCTCAAACAACATAGCACCGGACGGGTCAGTGACAAAAGAGCTTCAGGGGAGTAACTACGCTGACGAACGAACTGGCTGAGAACTCTGGTATTGATAGCTCCATAAAAGGTTGGTTTGATAACATATTTGGTAAATGGAAAACTATTGTTGTAACTATTCTGGGTGAAGTTATAGCTTCTATGGGTATACTTGTTCTTTGTGGATGTTGTCTTATTTCCTGTGTCTGAGGTTTGGTGAGAAAGGGAGATGGGGAAGGTGGTTTCCCAACAGATGGTGAGATACGGCCCAATCCTGGACTCCGACCTAAGGAATTAAGGATATGACCTACCAGGCTTGGTGGAGTGACACTAGAGGGTGTCTAAAGGGGGCCTAAATTTACTTCCCTGTTGGTGTTTTATGTTTTAATAATCTTATGTTTTGTGTTCTATTAATCCTGTGTTTTATGCTTTATTAATCAAGTTAACCATTGTGAATGTTTGTCTTTCCTTATGTGAAGGTTTGAAGTTCTTTGATGACTGGTAACAATTTGCAAGTTGGGTGTAGATGGAAGGACTGAGAGTTTTTATTTTTCAGTATCATTATTGCCTATTAATAAAAGTGTGATTCTTTTTGTTTGTATTGTATTTTAATGAGTGACACCCTAGAGGGTGTCAAAAGGGGGATTGTTGGGTTCTATTTTCTAATAATTGGATTGAAGTGATGAATAGCTTAGAAGGAATGCATTAATGAGGAGCATAGGTTTGAACTATACTGATATAAATTGTTTCACTTAACAGGCTGTCATTCATGTGAGGAACGTTAGGGGCTAGGATGAGATAAAACGTGTATTTCTTATAGATAAGACTTGTATTTCTCACAGATACGAACACTGCTTCTTTGTGATCTGTGAACCTTCCTTGGACGTAGGAATGGTGTCTAAGGGAGCTGGCTCTTCTCACTATGACAGGTTGTTATGATAAGGACTTATGCCTGGCAACAGAGGTGCATCAACGGATTGGCTGAGTAAGTCTAAACCACGCTCAAGTCTTTGCTCTGATTGGCCAACAGAGAGGTGGGAAACTCTCTCTGTCAGAGTATTTGAGCAACAATCTGAAACAATGGATTTAGTTCTCTGGGGTGCCCTGCAAGGTATTTCAGAGAGCCCGTATATACGAAACATCATATTTACCATTGAAGGTTTTTGCATTAATTAAAATAACTAGTATATCTTAGAAGTCGTGTTGACCTCTTTTGTTCCTAATACCAGATTTGAATTGACGCAACTTTGACAGTTTTTTTTAAATATTCGCTTCCTGATCGTTTTTGTCTCTTAGACATGGTAGCAAATTGTTTCAAATCTATATAGCTTACTTTTAGCTAAAATTATATCCACTAGTAGTAGCTAGCTAACATTAACAGGCTAGGTTAGGCTATTGCCTTAATCACTAATCGGCTTCATCATAAACAAAACAATCATTTAACTGGCAGATTCCTTTTTATTAATGTTTCACAATTGGATAATCCCATATAAACACACACATCACCATAGCTACCAAGATAGTGGGAGTGAATTTCGGGAGGAACAGGAATGGGGTGAGGGCGGGAACTGCAGCAACGCCATGAGCTGGTGGCTAGGGTGCGGTCGGCGGTGTAGCAGCCGAACAGGGGCGCCGGAGGGCGGCAGCTAATTGTCAAAATGCTGCCCCAAATTCAAGTGCCGCTAGCCAGAGATTGAACCTTTTGTAGCGTTTTTGATGTGGCACTGCAACATTCACGTAGGCGAGCAAGGTCGATGACGCGAAAGAGTAAGAATGGCGCTGCTAAGATCAGAGAATCGTCTCCTTTGTATACACCTTCGTTCGAGGAGTACATACAGTGCGTTCGGAAAGTATTCAGACCCCTTGACTTTTTCCACATTTTGTTACGTTACAACATTATTCTAAAATGGATTAAATTGTTTTTTTCCCCCCTTCATCAATCTACAAACAATACCCCATAATGACAAAGCAAAAACACGTTTTTAGAAATGTTTTCAATTTTATAAAATAAAAAAAATGGAAATATCACATTTACATAAGTATTCTTACCCTTTACTCAGTACATTGTAGAAGCACCTTTTGCCTTGATTCTTCTTGGGTATGATGCTACAAGCTTGGCACATCTGTATTTGGGGAGTTTCTCCCATTCTTCTCTGCAGATCATCTCAAGCTCTGTCAGGTTCGATGGGGAGCGTTACTGCTGCACAGCTATTTTCAGGTCTCTCCAGAGATGTTCGATCAGGTTCAAGTCCGGGCTCTGGCTGGGCCACTCAAGGACATTCAGAGACTTGTCCCGAAGCCACTCCTGCATTGTCTTGGCTGTGTGCTTAGGGTTGTTGTCCTGTTGGAAGGTGAACATTCGCCCCAGTCTGAGGTCCTGAGCACTCTGGGGGAGGTTTTCATCAAGGATCTCTCTGTACTTAGCTCTGTTCATCCTCGATCCTGACTAGTCTTCCAGTCCCTGCTGCTGAAAAACATCTCAAAATCAATTTTAGAATAAGGCTGTAACGTAACAAAATGTGGAAAAAGTCGAGGGGTCTGAATACTTTCCGAATTCACTGAACAAAAATATAAATACAACATGCAACAATTTCAAAGATTTGACTGAGTTACAGTTCATATAAAGAAATCAGTCAATTGAAATCAATTCATTAGGCCCTAATCTATGGATTTAACATGACCGGGAAAACAGATATGCATCTGTTGGTCACAGATACGTTAACAAAAAGGTAGGGGGGTGGATCAGAAAACCAGTCAGTATCTGGTGTGACCACTCTTTGCCTAATGCAGCACGACACATCTCCTTAACATAGACTTGATCAGGCTGTTGATTGTGGCTTGTGGAATGTTGCCCCACTCCTCTTCAATGTCTGTGCGAAGTTGCTGGATATTGGCAGGAACTGGAACACGCTATTGTACACGTTGATCCAGAGCATTAAAGGGTGACATGTCTGGTGAGAATGCATGCCATGGAAGAACTGGGACATTTTTAGCTTCCAGGAAATGTGATCAGATTCTTGCGACATGGGGCCGTGCATTATCATGCTGAAACATACATCATACACGTGGTCTGCGGTTGTGAGGCTGGTTGGACGTACTGCCAAATACTCTAAAACAACGTTGGAGGCGGCTTATGCCGCTTTGGTGGACATTCCTGCAGTCAGCATGCCAATTGCACGCTCCCTCAAAACTTGAGACATCTGTGGCATTGTGTTGTGTGACAAAACTGCACAATTTAGAGTGGCCTTCTATTGTCCCCACCACAAGATGCACCTGTGTAATGATCATGCTGTTTAATTCGTTTCTTGATAAGCCACACCTGTCACGTGGATGGATTACCTTGACAAAGGAGAAATGGTCACGAACAAGGATGTAAACAAATTTGTGCAAAACATTTTAGAGAAATACGTTTTTTGTGCACATGGAACATTTCTGGGATCTTTTATTTCAGCTCATGAAACATGGGACCAACACTTTACATGTTTGCATTTATATTTTTGTTCAGTGTAGATTAATCATCATGTGATCAAGTGAATGACTATGAGGACTCAAGAAAGTGTCTCTGTGGTTATGTTTGAACAACTAATGGATGATCAGTGATTCAACTTAACAGACAGGACAGGCTAAGATGGTTTAACAATGTAAATGATTGCTGAATGAGTGTGGTATGATTAGAGGCATGAAGGAAGTGTAGTCATTCAGGTCTGACTGGAGTCTTTACTTAGATTGTGATTTTAGTTAGGTGCTGTGGGTGAGGAGTGGGGTGGGTGAAGGACAGAGGAGGACCACAATGACAGATTAAACTCAGGTTAATATTAACAATATTAACAATAATAACAGGTTAATAACACTCTGATATAAACCAAGGGCCTACTCACTTTACCAAGGTATCTGACTATTGGGGAGTATAGGAGTCTGTGTTTGAATCCCATCTTGTCCAGATGTTCATTTAACGTGTGTGTTTATTCTCTTGCAGACATCCATGTAACCTGTCTGTTCTCAGAGGATTGTGTCCTGGCCTGCAGCTTCCACCCTGGCAGTGATGAAGTCATCTACTGGCTGAAACCAGAAGACAAGGACCTGACCGTCCACTCCTACTACTACAGTACAGATCAGCTCAAGCTGCAGAGCCAGCGTTACAGAGGGAGAACAGCCCTGTTCAATGACCAGATCCCCAAAGGAAACGCTTCACTACTGCTGAGAGGACTCACACTCCAGGACCAGGGCAGATACAAGTGTTACACCAGCACTATTAAAGGCAACAAGGAGTCCTTCATTAACATGGCAGTGGAGGGTACGGAATGTCTGTCTGTCTGTCTGTCTGTGATGATCACTTTATGGCTGCTCCATGTGTAATGTCTACTTTGTTGCAGCTCCAGTCCGCTTGGTGGACATACAGTTATCAGATGACATCATCACCTGCAGTTCTACAGGTATCTATCCTGAGCCTAAACTCACCTGGTCCACTGACCCCCCCTCTGACCTTTCATTTGACCCTGGAACCATCCAGAACTCCACCAGCACCAAGGTGGATGACGGGGGCCTCTATGACATCACCAGCACAAAACAGTTTATCAGAAACCGAACCAACATCTGTACCGTGACCTCTGGGACAGTAGAAAGGACAGCAACCCTGAAACAGCAAGGTAATCAATTGATCAACCTGTTAATCAAACAATTTATAAATCAATGAATAAATTCATCAATCAATTTTTCTGGCTATAAACTCTACAAAAACAAGACAACAATGCGAGACAGTATGCAAAGATCAAGCTAAAAAGGCACTTTCTCATGACATAATTTCAGATCCGGTCCAGGGTTCTCCAAGAAGTGAAGTGTCCATCCCCTGCAGTGTCTCTCAGTCTGACCTCCTGACCTTTAACCTCACCTGGAGGTTCAACCAGATAGACACCATCCTCACCTCCACCTACACCAAGGGTACATCTCAGATGTACATTGACAACCAGTGGAAGGAGCAGGTTCAGAGTTTGTCTGACTCTGGCAGCCTTCAGCTCCACAAGCTAACCGTGGTCCACCAGGGAATCTACAGCTGTGAACTCTCTACTGCCAGAGACACACACCTGGTCCTCACCTACCTGGAGATCACACCTGATAAACCATCTGATGGTACAAAGTTTACTTTTACTATTTACCCTCACTGTAAGTCACATGATCACATTCAACAATAAAACTGCAACTCTGTATTTTCTCCTTCAGTTTCAGATGGACTGAGTTCAGGTTCAATCACTGGTATAACAATAGCAGCAGTAGCAGCAGTGATTATAGCAGCAGTGATATGTTACCTGCTGAGAGGTAAGTTATGATGATGATGACTTCATAATCTGTTGAAACATTTAACACAACCACCTCCTGATGGACAGAGAGGAGGGTTACATTGGTGGCTTTTGATGAACAGCTTTCAGTTTCTGCTATTTTGCTGTCTCCCATCTCAAGGTTTTCTGCCCAAATTTAGATGTAACACGGTCATCTGAAGAGGGAGTCACTCTCTGCCACAGGTTGACGTCCATGGAATATTCATGTCCTTATGGTTACATGCATTTACTCATACTAGCTGTTTGTGTGTCTGAATCCTGCTAACTCACCATAAACTCACCTATCTCCCTCCAGCAAATACAAATGGTCAAAATGAAAAGGATCAGAGTGGAATACCACTTCAGAATGGAGAAGAAAGAGAGGAAGATATAGAAAGACAAGAACAAGAACAAGGTCAAGGAGAAGAGGGGTCAGCCACATCAACCGCAAGCTTAAATGTAACCTAAAATGTAATCTATGTAATCCCTGAAAGTAATTATTTATCATGAGAGGACCATAAACAATAACTAGTAATGCTGCATACTCCAAGACAGTGGCATGTTTTCTTGGATGCCAAGGGAAGCCAAGCTTCTTCCAAAAATGTACCAAGAAAAAATGATAAAAAAATAATTAATCTTTCGTCTCTCTGTATTTCATAATTTTCCTTAAATTCGCAAGAGGCTGAATGTATCTCAACGGAGAAAGCCTCAGAGCGAGTGAAACAGCGCCCCTCTGTCTCTGTATGTGTAACCCATCTATCTGATGCTGTCTGGTCAAAAAGAGTATGATATTATTGTTGCCCGTAGCATTGAATGCAAGGGAAGACAGTGAGCATTTAGCATCCCTTGATTTAAAAAAAGTATAAAATAATAGCCAATCAGCATTGAGCTAAACTGAGCGAGCTCAACTCTGAATGGTCCTGGCGCACCAAAGAAAAGTGTCACATGTCCACTGTATGTTCACCAAGCCAAACTTAATTGACAGAAAAAACTTCAATTGTTGCATCTCGTTGTGTTGTTGTCCTCCGCTGGCTAGCTAGCTAGCTAGCTAAAATTGCCATTTTCCTAAATTAGCCATGGATGGAGATAGGGATTTGGACTTCTGATTCAACCATAAATTCATACATTGTGCCCCTGGCCAAATGTAGTAGTCTAATGTTAACTAGCTGGCTCATCGTTGCCCATGCAAGGAAGTTAGGCTAGCGAGCTAGCATTTTAGCCAGGTAGCCTAGGACAACAAAAACTAAAAGCATGTATTGTATGACAGAGTGATAGACTGTATTGGCAACATGAAAGAGAGGAGGATGGCATTGATGTTTCTCTACAAGTAGGTTGAGTCAAAATGTTTTTTTCTACTTGCAAGCACGCACACACAAACACACACAGAAATCATAACCGTGGACAGCCATATCATATTTAGCTTATGTTGATTGGACTAAATTGTTTTTGGTGTCTTTTAGTTGTCACTGTATTAGACTGTATTAGAATCTCTGAAGCTGGAGACTCTTATCTCCCTCAATAACTTTAAGCATCAGTTGTCAGAGCAACTTACCGATCACTGCACCTGTACACAGCCCATCTGAAATTAGCCCACCCAACTACCTCATCCCTATATTGTTATTTATTTTGCTCTTTTGCACCCCAGTATCTCTATTTGCACATAATCTCTTGCACATCTAGCATTCCAGTGTTAATACTATTGTAATTATTCTGCACTATAGCCTATTTATTGCCTTACCTCCATAACTTGCTACATTTGCACACACTGTATATATATTTTCTGTTGTATTTCTGACTTTATGTTTTTTACCCCATATGTAACTCTGTGTTGTTTTTATTGCACTACTTTGCTTTATCTTGGCCAGGTCGCAGTTGTAAATGAGAACCTGTTCTCAACTGGCTTACCTGGTTAAATAAAGGTGAAATAAAAAATAAAAATAAAAGACTAAGCATAGGTGATTTGATGTTGAAGTTGAAATGGTGCTGGAATGGTGGAGGCAGCTTCTGTTTTCTTAGCGACTTGCAATAGCCTAACTCTCCATGGTTCTAAATCAATAGTTGTTTAGTAGTCTGAAAATGTCGGAAACTTTAACTTGCTTGACCATGCTGTAGGTCGTGGAACTGTTTGTTACATGCAATATGCTTTGTGGACACCACCGGACAGAGGTTGCTCTCCGGTTATGTGATGAAACAAAGGTGTGGTTGAATATGTTCTGCCACTGAGTCTTCTTATTGTCTCGGCCTTTAGGTCTATATATCACGGTGTCAAGGCATATGAACTACCGGGTTATAGAGCAAACAATGCAATTATCACAACACATAGGTTTGCATTATGGCATTTTTTTCCTGCCTTGGCTTCCCCAGTGATTTTACCCACGCACCACTACTGCTCCAAGAAAGGTTAAAAATCTCACCTTTCTGGTAAAAATAGTTATAAATTGTTGAGGTGTAGTAACTTTTGACGACACAAGCTCAAGTACACATTACAAATATGACGAAAATATGAAATATTTTATATGACATATTTCCTGTTAAAAAACCTGGATGAATAAAGGCTTGAAATGACTTATATACTTTCTAAATATAGTATAATCAAATTATAAAACCACTACCTATAAGATTTCACCTTCCTTATAACTGTAAAATACATATTTGTATGTTTTGTGTTAGAGAACATTTGCATATGTTCTGCTCGTCACACAGAGCTCTAGCTTGGCTTCCTGAATTCGTTATGAACTCGCCTTTCATCTCATATTAATATTGTCCATCTATGACAAACAGAAAGCGTTTTGTTTAAAATCGATTAACTGTTTTCGATGAATGGCTATAAATCGATCGCTGAATGTGCAATAGTGATGAATCCACTCTCTCCTGCTGCGCTATGATGTAATGATTGCAGGCATGTGCTTTGTCAGTGGCTGTGTAGTAGGTTTCAGACAGGAGTTGATGGACAGACGGAAGAGCGAATGAAATGGTAGGAGGGACAGCCCAGCTTCAAGTGGTTTCAGAGGTCACATCCTACGTCACACAGGCAGACAAAATATACTACTGTGTCCGTGAGTACCAGGGCTATCGCTCAATGCAAGCCACTTCAATCTACAGTCCACAGATCAATTTATAAGCGCTAATTGGTTGGTTGGAACCAGTACCAGAACCACGTAGGTTCCCTAAACAGGGGACTTAACATCTAAGAGGTTTTAAGGAGAAGAGGGATCAGCCACATCAACCATAGTAATACCTCAGAATCAAGGAGAGGACATTGACCCAGGGGAGGACAAAGAGGAAAGACGACAATTGGATAATTTTCAAGTTGCATATAAGCAAATAAGCAATGATGACAATTTCACCTACAAAAGGCAAGGTGGAGCTATAATCATATTTTGGGCTCCCGAGTGGCCACAGCGGTCTAAGGCACTGCATCTCAGTGCTAGAGGTGTAACTACAGACCCTGGTTTAATTCCAGCCTTTATCACAATTCGGCCGAATCCCATAGGCTGGCGCACAATTGGCCCAGCGTCGTCCGGGTTTGGCCGGGGTAGGCCGTCATTGTAAATAAGAATTTGTTCTTAACTGACTTGCCTAGTTAAATAAAGGTTAAATAAATAAAAACATTGCTTACACACCTATCCAATCCTTTCAGATCTACATGGAGTACCTAGCCGGGGGGTAGCGGCTAAGGGTTGGTTCTGGACCGGCCTCATCTTTGACAACAAAAAGCACTTTGTTTTGCAAATAAATTGTGAATTTACCAATAACTGTCTCCTGTATTCAGTATAGTTACTATTCAGTGACAGTATGTTATCCCCCATTCACCATCATTGTGACTTGGAGAGGCGTGTCAGCCTTTACACACACTGAATGGACAGGACCTGTTTCACCATCAGAAGTAACTTGCTGGCATGTGAATCAATCATTTACAATACATTTTTAGGAGAAGAAGTTGACTGATTGTGGGACATCATTTTTTAAGTTTTAGTTGAATTTATTGTGTGTGCGTACATACGTGCATACGTGCGTGGGTGTGTACGCATGCATTTTGCTATGGGAGGAAGTAGCTACACTTTGATACTGAGTTTATTTACTGTAGCATGACACACACACCTTGATGAATGTAGGTTATCTTTACCTGTATGTAACATGATCCCTCTGGAACTCCCAGACAGTGTCTCTCTGAAGAAGACAACAAGCGAGAGACATTCAGAGAGAGCGAGAGTAGCATAACAAGTGAGAATGAGATAGCAGGTCAGAGACTGGAGAGGATAAGACGAGGTGAGAGGCTGGATGCTGAGGCACAGGTTGGATTCTCATCACAGAATAACAACACAGCCTCTGGTCAGTAACCATGGCAATGGCGTTGGTAGGTCTGGTGGTCTCCTTGGTAACTGATGTGGACTGTCACACCTACCAGTTAAAAAATAAAAAAAGATACGATTTGCCTTTTGAATCTGTGTTCAGTGTGGTAAAACCTCATCCCCAGGCTGTTGGGCAGAAGTGTGTGTCTGGGAACGAGACTAAGTGTGGTCAAGTCATGTGAAGGAGAGAGAGGCTATAAGTCCACTAGGGGGCGATGTTCAGCTGTCTTTGACCAGATCCATCTCTGGGTAGGAGTTGCCTTTAGGAACATATCTGGATCAGCTTTAGACATTTTTAGTCATTTAGCAGACGCTCTTATCAAGAGCGACTTACAGTTAGTGAGTGCATACATTATTATTTTTTCATACTGGCCCCCCGTGGGAATCGAACCCACAACCCTGGCGTTGCAAACGCCATGCTCTACCAATTGAGCTACATCCCTGCTTACTAAAGTATAGTATAATCTAAACCATAAAGGAGGACCTCACCAAAGGCTACTGGCAGGTTGCTGTGGACACAAGATTAGGAGAAGACTGCATTTATCTTTCCCAGTGGAGGCTGTGTGTGTGTTCAATGTGTGTGTTAATGTATCAGCCTTGTGGACAGGTTTCTCCCCTGTGGTAATACTCATCTGCACCCTCCACTGGCTTCCAGTCGAAGCTCGCATCCACTACAAGACCATGGTACTTCCCTACGGAGCAGCAAGAGGAACTGCCCCTCCTTACCTTCAGGCTCTGCTCAAACCCTACACCCCAACCCGAGCACTCCGTTCTGCCACCTCTGGTCTCTTGGCCCTCCCACCCCTATGGCAGAGCAGCTCCTGCTCAGGCCAGTCCAAGCTCTTCTCTGTCCTGGCACCCCAATGGTGGAACCAGCTTCCCCCTGAAGCTAGGACAGCAGAGTCCCTGCCCATCTTCCGAAAACATCTGAAACCCTACCTCTTCAAAGGTAGGGTTTATCTTCAATTAATCCCACAGCACTAATTAACTAGAACTAACACTTATACTTTACTCGTTTCCCTGTTACTAGCTCTGACTT